AACAATATACTCTAAATATGAAAAAACATTTAAAATTTAAAAACATAAGTGCATTAAACTAACAATTTTAAAAATAATGTAAAGTACCTCCAAAGGTTCAAACAAGTCTTCAATGTTAGAAAACAAATGATTTTTCAGAAAGTCATCATGTTCTGTGTCTTGTTTTGATGCAATCATTTTAATTCCACTTGATGACAGTTGTTGTCCATTTTCAGAGACCAATCTGTTCATTTACAACAAAGAAATGATTTAAATTTATTATAGTATGAAATAAATAAATCTGATAATACATAGGAAATTCTAAATGAAAATACTTGTTTTTGTAGATTGTAATTTCATCGATATCATTGTTTATGAAAACCCTACTAACATCAAAGTAGGTGGATGAAAAAGGACGACCTGCCAAAATAAATTTGATTATTCAATAATATATATATATATATATATATATATATATATATATATATATATATATTAGATTATGCTTGTTAAAAATAGTTACAAACCATTAATAAACTTCACCCTGGCAAATTGAACAATAACAACAACTGGAGCAAGGCTGTTATTGTTAGCAAAAAAATCATGCATGTAGTATGCATTATGACCCCACAAACTTATCTTAAGCTTAGTATCCCTGAAATAATAAACAAATATTGTAAATAATATAAATGAAGCTATATTACTTGTTTGTAATAATGGTGAATACTCTATATCTTGAAGATGCAAGAGCATCTTGTGTTTTGATTTATCTTGTTCTGAGGTATCCATATGCCCATACTCAAAAATGTGTCCAATAATATCTACAAAAGCAAGGAAATATAATTTAATATAAAATATCAAATTGTAATACGAAGAAAGAATTTAGGATGTTATATAGCAAAAGTTAATATTAAATAAACCAACCAAAAGAGTTTGACTCCAGGATGTTGTTAGAAACGATAGTATTGAAGTCAACAAAATGAAAGCCATGTGCAGATCCAGAAAAGTTTTCACAATCTTTTACAATTGTATCGTGATAAAAATTTAGTTTTGATTCCGGATGAGCAAACTTAAAATTTGAAGTATTTGGTGCGACGTTAGGTTTCTTGACGTAAATTGAACTATCCTCTTTTAAATAGCGCTTGAATTTAGGAAACCATTTCTTCAGACATGATGCATGAATTTTCCTTCCCTAAAATAAATGAAATAATAAATATTTAAATATAATTGCTTATGAGTATGAATAATATAATTGCTTATGAGTATGAATAATTTTTTATAAAAATAATAATTGAATACATCCATCTTATACCTCCTCATCCATCAAAATCATTTCTATCGAGTATGTGTCGTTCGCATCAAATCTTGACTTTTGAGTCCAAAAACGTATGATCCGAACTTTAATTGTGAAATCGTCCTTGATTGAGTCAATTTCCTTTATAGGAGTAATATGTTCCATTGTACCTTGCAAGTTAAAAAAAAAAAAAAATTTACATTAAATTAGACAATTATAATCAGCACACAGAAAAAAACAATCAAACAGTCAAGAAGAAAGTACATTGGTAGGCTGTTACGATTAAATTAGACAATTATAATATGCGTTTTTCCAGTGAGTATTCATATAAAATATTTATTTCCTTAATTAAAACAACAAAAGATATATTTTTATTTATTTTTCCAATTTGCATAACTTTTTTTATTGATTTAATAAAGTTGCATACCAAATTGTTAGGCTGTTACGATTTCACCACCTAAAATATGTATATTTGTATTATAATATATTATCTTGTTAGTATTTCATGAATGAAATCAATAACACTTGTGTGCTTTGAATGCGAAGTTGGATTTAGCTTTGCTATAAGTTTCAATCGATTTTGAAATTACGTATTGTTCGCATTTGTATGAGTGTAGTCGATGAATCGATAAAGCAAGAACATATGAGTTTTGATTCGCAATTGGATTGATGATTGAGGGATGATTCGTGAAGAAAAACGCGAAGTCAAGGACTGTGAAATTGTTGTTTGCAAGAATTTAAAAACTCGATTGTGGAGTTGTTGATGCTCATTTTGCGAAAGTAAAACAATCGAGTATTTGCATCTGTGAATCAATTTGAAGTCAATTGGGTTAATATTCGCATATGGGTTCAACATATGAATTTTTGATTTCGCAAGTAGAGTTCAAGAACTAAACTGTGTTCGCATCTGGAATGAAAATTTTGTGGTTCGCATTTGATTAATTAGGTTAAAATGCGAAGGTGATTAATGCGAAGGGATGCGAAGGGTGTAAGAATGAAGATGCGAAGTATTTCACAGTAGAATGCGAATTGGGGAAGAAAACAGAAATTTTCAAATATTGTCCCTGGAGTTTCGCATTTTTGGAAATAAATACTCAACTTCGCAAATGGGGGTCATAAAATGATGAAATTGCAGAATTTTTAAAGAGATACACACACATAGACAACCACACATATATTTAGAAAATTAAACTAAAAGATGATAAATTACAGATTATAGCATTGTTCTTTGAGAATAAATTACTAAAAATGGGATATAGTGTAACAGGAACTTCAAAAAGAAATTGATACTTTTTTGTTTATTATATAAACGGTTTGATAAATCAGACGAAATAATCAATTCTTTTGTTTATCATTTAAGTGTAGATGTTACCAAGAAAACAATGAGAAAATTACATATTTACTGATATACCCTTAAGGGTATATAATGAGAAAAAAACTAAAAATCGAAAACTAAACAGAAAAAACCTGTATATTTAACAAAAAAATTAGGATATAAACAGGAAAATCGTAAAGCACTGATTGATTTATATATTTAATTGTATCACTTGCAAACATACTTTTTAAAAACAGATATAAACATATACGTACATATAGACAATAAAACATATATTTAGAAAAATAAACTAAAAGATGATCAATTCCAAAATATAGTATTGTACTTTGAGAGTAGATTCCTAAACATAGGATATAGTGTAACAGGAAGTTTAAAATGAAATTTGTAATTTTTTTGTTTATTATTTAAACGGGTTTGATAAATCACATGAATTGATAATTTGAGTTACTTTTTCAACAGGTTTGTAGTTTATATGAATATGATGTTAAAAGAAACCACCAACTGATAAAAGTATTTTCAAGTTTTCAGAAAACGTGTCATGTAAGAAAAATCATTATGGAAGAATTATTGGTCTAACCATCCAAATACCCTAATTACGATTAAGTATTTAGATGGACCAAATCATTGGAGGAAGCAAATAGGTGTAGAAGAAATTGAATGGTCCTATGACTCTAATGTATCACATACAGTTATATAAGATACACATATTAAGAAAACCAAAAATCGACATACACAGATCGTGACTATATGTACCAGAATATACATAAAGAAATACCAATGTATCAAACTGTTATACATAACAGGTAAAAAAATAGAGGGAAAAGTGATGAAATCGATTAAGAATGTAGATGAAATAGAACATCTAAAAGGTAAAGAGCAATGTAGTTTTGCTGACCTGATGATGAATACGTGACCCTTAAAATCGTATTGACTTCTGAAATTGTATTGAAATATATCATCTCTTCCTAAACTGATTTCCTGATTTTTTGGGATTGATATAAAATGGAATTTAAATTGATTACCTGATTTATTGGGATTGATTTGATCTTCAATATTCCACCGAATTAAATTTGAAATTTCCTGATTTATATATTTACTGATTGACGATTTATGTTTCCTGATGTGTACAGTTTTATTTTTGAGAATAGAAGGGCGAAGTGGGAACTTCACTTATAATTTTTGAGCGGGAAAATGCAAGGGTGAGTGGCTAAGGGAATGCCAGGTGGCGTTTCTAGTACTGTTTTATTAGTAGAGAAGGTTTTTTAGAAATATTAGAAGTTTAACTACAATATCAAATTCTGCTATAATCTTTCCGAAGCAATTTGCCCACGGGGAGCATTAAAAGGGTTCGAAATCAACTTGGGAACCTGAGATCGAGGTGATGGAGTGTTATCCTGAATTGTTTTCAGCGACGAATTTCGAAAACGAAATCTAATTCAAGTGAGGGAGAGTTATAACATCCTGTTTCCATAAGTTAAAATTTTTATAAATATTTTTTGAGCTTTGGTTGACCACGGTGTGGCAAAGACTCACCACAACGTGCAGTGGCAGATGCAGACTGTTTTAGTAGAGGTGTCCCTCGTACTTCAAGTGGGTGCACCTAATAATAATAAAAAAAATTACACTGCGTGCCGGAAATTGAGCAATGCCCCACTAAGGTCCGCCACTGACAATGTGGCCTTGCTAGAATGTTCGTGGGACTTTAATGAGCCCCAACGACGTAACATTGTTGGACATGATGTGGCGAGCGGTTGAAACGTTAAACCTTAATTTCTCGGGTATTTAAAGGAAAAAGGGAGTCTAGGGTTGCCCACCCTCAGCCTCCATTAGTCTTAAACCTTTGAGTTCGTAACCCTAATATCCTTTGAAGCTTTTGAGCTCATTTAGGCCTCGGTGGGTGGTTTTTAGCTCTTTCTCAAAGAAGAAGAAGACTCCATTGGTGTATTGTTTGGACCAAGTAAGCTTCTTTCCATCATCTTGTGTTGTTGTTGGACCTTTGTAAGTTGTCAAGCTTCTACCTTTCTCTTTCAAGCATGCTAGATCCAGGTTTTTGTTCTTATTTCTTCATGTTGGGTTAAGTAGAATGCATGGAGTCCATAAAGTTGACAACTTTATTGATTATTAAGGTCCACTTGCTTTCATATGTTTAAGATCTGGTGTAACAGCCCGGATTCCCAGGTATTATTCATTCTTTCATTTTTGGTATTTTGTGAGGAGACTCGGCGAGTTGGAGCTCAAACCCGCCGAGTAGGATCGCGATTTTTGGACAAGGTTCGCGTCTGGACTCGGCGAGTCCAAGGAGTGGACTCGGCGAGTCCACGCTGTTTAATGAAACCCTAATTCCCCGGGTTTGGAGCCTATTTAAGGGCACTTATAGCCCCCCATTGCGGCTACCAGTTCCTTGAGAGAACCCTAAGAGAGCTAATTCGTTGTGGGAGAGAGGAAGTCACTTTTGAGCCTTTGTATTCTTTGTTTAGCAAGAGGAAGGTGGCAAGAGCAAGGAGGAGGTGAGATTACAGCAGATCCAGAGTCCAGAGGCTTCATTTTGAGGTAAGGGTTCGAATCTCCTTCAGTTATAGGGTTAATCTTTAGAGTTAGGGTTTTATAACCCCTTTGGAGAGTGATTATGTGAAGCAAATGGTCCCTCTTCGAGTTTGTGCCTTGGATCTGGACTCAAAGAGGTCAAGAGACCTTAACCAATGGGGCTTTTGGGTTATTATGGAGTCATTGGACCTAAGTGGTTATTTTTGAGACCAAATCACCTTTTGATGTCTTGTGGGGGTTATACAAGCATCAAATTTCGAACTTTACGTGACATTCATGCTTGGGAAGGCCAGATCTAGGGTTTGGGAAAGCAGATCTGACCTCAGAAGGTCAATAAAAGTGTGTGCATGGCATGAACTCGCTGAGTTGTTCTTGGGACTCGGCGAGTAGGGTTGGGGTTTCACGTAATATGTTCAGTGAGTGGACTCACCGGGTTGGGGGATAACCCAGTGAGTCAGGAAGAGTCAATATGGGGTTGAGTCAAGCCGGAACTCGCCGAGTTGAGTCGTGGTTGCCCTGCGATTCAAGCCAGGTGGAAATCGTTGAGTTAGGGGAGTGCTCGACGTGCCAAGAAAGATCCGAGGGAGTCAGTGAACGCGTTAGACTCGCTGAGTTGCTTTGGTGCACTCGCCGAGTCCTGTCAAAGTTGACCGTTGACTAGAGTTGACCAATGTTGACTTGATAGGGTTAGTCAACCTTAGTTGTAAAAGTGTTAATTAGAGATATATTGTATTATAGGAAGATTATAGTGCGGGGGATCGAGCACGAGTGATTCCAGGGATTTGCGAGTTATCGAGATACACGAGGTGAGTTTTCTCGCTATACCTTACCTTGAGTAGGTAACTAGAGTTATGTGATACAGTGCTTGTATGCTATATATATTTTATGTGTTGCGCTGCATTATTCTTTGTGATTTATGTTGTGCATGTTTACAGAGTTAGAACCTAAGGGTTCACAGAGTTTGGGTGCACGGACCCACAGAGTTATAGCCTCGAGTGGCTAATATGTGTTATATGTGGTATTTTGGGGAACTCACTAAGCTTTATGCTTACAGTGTTTGGTGTTATTTGTTTAAGGTACTAGTGACGACCGTGGGAAGGCGCCGACTTGATCAGTACACACACACGAGATTTTATGTTATGAGATCTTGGGATTTTTG